CCGGCGGTCAACCAAGCCAAAGATTTTGCGTGGTGGTGGTGGTGGTGGTGTGTGTGTGTGTGAGTTTTAGTCACTTGCTGCGCAGTCCGGTGAATGTTCGCCCGGAAGTTAAAAACAAACAAAACCCAAACACCCTACTTGATCCATTGGGGTTTCCTCCCAAGGGGTGCCTGCCCAGGGCTGCGGCCTAAATCACTCGCCAGGTTTCAACGGGGAGGTGGATGGTTGAGCGAACCTGGTTGGCTTCAGTGAGACTTGGGCCCAGAGTGGTGCTGGAGGACGAACCGCCGGTGGCTTCAGAAAAGAGCGAGTCCAGGAGCACCGGAAACACTAACAGAATTTGAGGCAAGGGGTAGGAGCTTTCGTGAGGTACGCGTGGCCTCCTTCCTTCCTTCCTTCCTTCCTTCCTTCCTTCCCTCCCACTGCACTTGCGCACACCTGTATGCCGACCGGTGAGGAGCCCAGGTAGCCAGCTGACTGTACCTCCGAAGGAGAGTGAGAGGAAGGCTGAGAGCCATCTGCAGAAAAAGAGCGAACGGGGGTGGGCCTGGAGTTTGCCTTTGCAGGCTGCAGGATTTGCTTCGGCCGTGTTGCTCAAGTCCGGGTGTTCCAACGGCGGCGGCGGCCGGCTGCACTTTTTAAAGACTGAAATCTCAACAATCAACATTTGAACTAGGAAGTGGATTAAATCTAGTTTCCCTCCCTGAAGAGTTGATGAGGGAGGGAGGGAGGGAGGAAAGAAGGAAGAGGAGGAGGAAGGAGGAAGTAAGGAAGAAAGGGGAGGAGGAAGGAGGGAGGAAGTAAGGAAGGAAGAGGAGGAGGAAAGGAGGGAGGGAGGACGGACATTGGTGTCATGAAAAAAGGGGTGGGGAATTTAGGAAGGCAAGAACCAAGAAAGAAGGTAGTCAAAAAGCTACAATCCTTCGTTTTCAAATTCGGGCTCGGGGTGTGGGGGGGAGGCGGAATGGGAGAACAAAAACCAGCCCTCGGAGGAAGGAGAACTTTCTTTGGTCCCTGACCGCGGCGCTGCTTAAAGATCACGACGCAGCAAGAGATGCGAAGACGATGCCTGTTCTCTGGACTTCGTGAGAGACGAAGGTTCCCTTCCGCCCGCCCGGGGGTGGGCATTGCCAGGCGCGGCGCAGAACAGCCCCCAAATCCACGCCTCTCTTTTCAACTAGCTTCAGTCCCCTTGGTGGCGGCGGCAGAACTTGGATTTTCGTTGAGACCCAGGGAAAGCAGACAACCCAAACGTCTCCATTTGTACATTGGAGGATTATCCACGTCGAGTTCCTCTACTAAAAAATTCCACGGGGTCAAATTCCAGCGTGCCTCTTCGCCAGCAACGACGTCTTAAACGGGGACCACACAAAGTGCATGACCGCAGGCACGTTCGGCAAAGCCAGGCATTCCACTGACGAGTCGCTGTGCATGTGGAGAGGCAGTCCTTTAATGGATTGGGGTAGGCTAAGTGGTACCCCAAATGATGTGCCTGTCAGGAAGCCTCGCATGAACCTAAAGTGACTCTCCGGGGTCCTAAATATCCCTCCCCCAGAAACGGCCACAGTTACGCCCTCCAAGACAGCGACAGACCCACACTCACAAGAACCAAACTCCAGTTGGTCACTGCCGGCTAGGCAGGTCAGAAGTCGCACTCTGCCCCCACCAGAGCTTCCAATCTAACTTTTAAAAAAAGAATATTTCCTCTTTCCTATTCTGTTCTCAGCCCTCGAAGACCCAGGTGGATGTTTAGCTGCTTCGAGAATTTGGAAAAGGAGATGATCGACAGGGGTCGCCCCCCCCCCAAAAAAAGGCTGCTTTCTTCCAGAGCTTCCGTTTCAGCACCACGAGGCTTTGGACAGCTCCCCGACTCGCCTTGGGTTTGCTCAGCCAAAGATGGGGGACCTTTGGAGCAAGCTGGTTTCCGGGGGGGGGGGGCGCACTCTAGAAGCACCGAATAGCCCCTTTTGCAGCTCACTGGGTCCCCCAGAAATTCTAAGGCCCGTTCACACCAGCACTTGGTTAGAGGGCCTTCTGCTCGGAATTTTTCTGTGGCTGCTGCGATCAGAAGGAAAGTGTGTAGGCGCGCGTGCCTGCCTCTCTCTGGGTGTGGGGAGAGGGGGGGCTGGGGGGGGGGGAGAGCGCTCCACAGAGCAGGGGACAGACCATCTGTCCAAGACAAGAAAACCGCATTAGTCTTTATAAAATGAGAAGTAGATTCCGCTCCCCCCCACACACGCACACATTTCGAGAGAGAGATCTGATATATTTTTAAGTAGATCTTTCCGAAGACTTCGTGTCAACCGAAGGCGTCTAAGCTGTTCGGGGTCCCACCGAACCCCCCCTCCCCCCTCCCCCTCCCCACTTCCTGAGCAACACGCCGGGCTCCCGTGAAAGAATGGGGTCTCGCCTATGGATATTTAGCACGACTGGTTTGAAGTTAACTGCTTCAAGCGGAGGGAGTCGACATCGAATATTTATTAATTGTCGTCTTAGGACGTGGCTTCCTTCCCCGTTTGACTAAGATCCTCGGTGACTCGAGGCTCTCAGCCAGTCAAAAACTGTTCCGGCGCATTTCGGGGAAAGGTCTGGAAATGAATGATTAAAATCATTCCAAGATTCCAAGAATACCCAACAGAACGCCAGGGTTTGACTGTTTCCAACCAACGGGTGCATTTTCTAAAAGCAAGCAAGCAAGCACACAGAAACCTGAAGTTTGCAAGCAAATCTTCTCTTGTTTCCGAATTTCAGAAAGAGGGGGGGGCAGGGGGGTAAGAAAGTCATCCATGCAACGTCTTCATTAGTAATATAATGATCTTAGAGGGCAAAACGGACACGGAAGAGGCATCCCTATCTCGCAAAGTTTTCCTCCCTAAAAGGCCGAATAGCCTGCTGCATAAACCAAAGAGATCAGGGCTTTTTTAAAAAAACAACAACAGATAGCTCTGGCTGTTTAAAGAAAAGTGGGAGAAATCTGTTATCGGTACCATATCATTTGACATAAATATTTATTCATCTTAATGAAACCAAACAGAAACACACAAAAAAAGCACTTCTGGTGTCCAATAGACATTTCCATCTTGGCTACAACTTTTTTCTTTTTTCCCCCTTCTTTTTAATTTTTTTTTTTGTAAAACGTTGTTGATTATTTTGTTTTAAAAACATCGATCAGAAAAAATTTCTCCTTGCCTATGAATTTTAAAAATGCTGGTATGTCTAAAGGTGATGCGGGCCATATTAAAAGGGGGGAGGGAGTTGGAGAACTGAGAAAACATTTTTACATTCTCCCCTGGCTGAAAAGAAAGTCATTAAAGGCAAGAGGAAAGAAACATTTCGGGGGAGGAGGAGGAAATTATGCCAGTTCGAGTCTGTAGAAGATGTCGTTGGTTTTATATAGAGATTTATATACTGGTGTATTGTTACATAAACGTATACCTCTCCCCCCAAAATTATTACAGAAAGAAAGAACTGAGAATTACTATTAATTGACGGAGGGGGGGGTAGCTAACCGAAGAATTAAGCATTATAATCAGTGTTCTCTTCACATCACCTTTAAAGTTTGCATATCTGCATTTCCCCTTCCTATCCATGCATAACAAAACATTTTCGCCATTTCATAAAAATCTTTTTTTCCACTTTTTTTTCATTAACGTTTTTAAAACAGGTAGAAAACAGCATGACACACAAATTTTGGAAAATAAGTTACTTGGGGTTACAAGGGCGATTCCAAAAGTCAGTGATTGTTAAATACCAGGGAAACACACCACAGTCCTCCGTGTCCCCCAAATCAAAAAAAGTGCACGATTTGAAATCTCAGCGAGTTCCTTGGTCCATATTTTAAATACTTCATATGGATCCCT